GGTGTGGTTTGGGCTTTGCTTCTGTGAAGACTGACAGCCTTGGAGACCCTGTGGCAGTTCCACTCTGTCCTCTAGGGGCGCTGTGGGTCAAAATCAACTCCACGGCAGTGGGTGTGGTTTGGGCCTGCTGAGGAAGGGGTTGGGGACCACCGGGTTCATTCAGTTAGGTAATGAGCATCCAGGTCTGCAGCAGCTCTCACCCCCCTTTGAGGACTCACAGCTGGTGGGATGTGTGCACATGGTGGATTGCAGACAAGGAGGGCATGTGACAATGTCATGCACAGTGGTGGCTGCCTTGCCTGCTGAGGACATGTGCTTTCTGTCCCTCTCTCGGGACATCAGCTCTGGTTCCCTGGCCACGGGGGTCAGCCTTCTTGGCTGGATCAGGCAGAGCAGCACCCATCCCGGCCATGGTAGAAGCAGTTCAGGGATCGGCCGGCTCTAGGCAGAGTTCTGGCCTGAGGTTGGCATGCAGGCACTGAGAAGGTTCACTTTCCAATGGGGTGGCTGGAACTCCCCTCCCTGCCCCTAGGGAGCTCTGCCTGTGGGAGAGAAGGGGGCCAACACAGAAACAGGGCCCTGAAAGGGGGCTGGGATGGGCAGATGACACATGTAATTGAGTACCTGGATCCAGCCACACCTGACTCCCACACCATCCTTCCTAGTGTCCCAAACCAGTGCCCTTCATTGGCTGAGGAAAGGCTGTGTTGGTTTCTTCACTCGCAGCTCTAGGTTGTGCCCACGTCTGTAGACCATACTGGGTAGCCCTGGCCCCAGCAGGGAGGCAATGGTGAATCAGTGCCCTCCCCACTGGAGAAAGAGCAGGGCGGGAACCGGCTCTGTCCTTGGCTCCAGGAAGAGTTCTGAGCACGGGGCGCAGCGCATGGGATGAGGCGGTGGGGAGCCTCTGGAATAGGAAGGAGCCTGGACTGATGCCAGGACCACTAATGAGGGGCGTGTGACGTCAGCACGCTCGTTTCCTTGAATGTCCAGGAACCCCCGCTGTGCGCAGAAACAAGGAGTGGGCGGCACTGCGGCCCCACGGCGCCGCGTGGGCACGAGGCCCTGGCTCCCCGCCTGCCCCCTCCATCCCTGACCTCCACTCAAGCCACCACTGAGTGTCGTTAAAATGTCAGGGGTGAAGGCTGCAAAGCAAATCGCTTCCATTTCCTAGTCCAGGGAGCCCTTGCTGGGAAAATGTGAGTGGCTGGTTGCTTGAGACACGCCCTACAGTTTGGCCTGGTCAGGACAGTCCAAAGAAAGGAAAAATATCCCCCACCGCGTGTCCTCTGCCAGCGGGCACGATCTTGCTGACAGTGAGCTGCAGGCTGCAGCCCTTCAAGAAGTAAGAGCCCAGAGTTGAGGGTCCCTGGGTGGCGGGAGGGCTAGAGTCACTGTCTCCTCCGGGGGCATCAGGAAGCCCTGCCTTGCCTTCTCTTCTTTGGGGACATGGCCCATGACGGAGCCCTTGGCTGGGCGTTCGTTCCAGGCTCGCCTCTCAGGTGCTGCAGTGCCCGTGCCTCAGTTTCTCTGTCTGTCAAATGGAAAAAGTATCAGGACCCTCTCGCAGCGTGGTTGTGAGGATTCAACGCGTCAGTCGGTGCAAGGCACTTGAACTTTCGAGTGCAGAGTGTGTTTGCTGTCGTCTTGCAGAGCTGCGGTGGAGCTTAGACAAGATGGCACGTTGGACACGTAGTAGGGACTCGTGGCTCAGTGGTAGAACTCGCGCCCTCCGTGCAGAAGACCCAGGTTCGAGTCCCAGCCAAGGCACAGCACAGCCACCGCCCGTCTGTCAGCGGAGGCTGGTGTGCAGCTGGGACGCTAAACGGGTTTCATTCAGCGGAGCTTCCAGGCTACCATGGGCTAGGAAGCTAGGCCTGGATCTACTTCCTGGCGATCCCAGTATCAGCCAATGAAAACCTCGTAAAGGTGCAGTCCGGGACCAATCGTGGGGCTGGTGCGCGACCCGGCAGCGTGGAGCTCCGTTGTGCGCGGGGCTCGGTGAGTTGGGGCCCGATTTGGTGGTAACTGACTACAGGGGTTCAGCCAGTGGCCTTCTCCTGCTTAAGGCAGAGGCGAGGGTGCCCCGGGCCGAGGCGGGGCCAGGCGCCCGCAGGAGGTGCTGCCCCGGAAGCCCCGCCCTCGGCCCCTGCTCCCGGCCGCCTTCCGGGCAGCAGAGCGCACGCTCGCCCCCTGCTGGACGGCCGCGGGCTGGCCTCGCTGGCTGTCTGATGGGCTTGGTTTGGGGTGGGTCCCAGAGGACCCAGGCTGAGTGACTGATGGGCACCGGGCTGCTTTGGGCGTTGTAGTGCCGAGTTATAAGCTGGCACCCAAAAAGCCTTGTGTTCTGTGCCAGGCACATTGCAAAAGCCACAGCCTTATTTGGTCTGGAAACTTCGTAGCTTAGGGGAAAATTGGAGCAAGGAAGCGGACCTCTGCTGGGGCCGGGCAGGCGTGGCCAGGCGTTTATTACCCAGGACCGCGGTTCAGCTCAGAGTTATTTTGCTCGCTCCCTGGCTATCTGCCTCCCTCAACAGCGGCTCTCCCCATCTGCCCCGGAATCACGGCTTGACCGTCTGTCTCTTCTGTCCTCAACTGCCAGCAGGTTGTTCTATTTTACAGCTTGACTGAGGTTTACAATAAAACTCACCTCTTGTAAATGCATGGCTCGGTCCATTTGGATAAAGTCAGTGGCTGTGTGACCTGCCACCCCCACAAACCAATCTTCAGTCGGTCTGTTCCCAGCCGAGCCCCACGCAATCACTCAGCTACTTTCTCTCTCATTTGCCTTTTCTGGAAATTTCGTATAAAGAGAATCGCACGCTATGTGGCCTTTCGCGTCTGACTTTTATTTAGCATAGTCTTCCTCTCTGTCACCGCCCTGCTCAGGGCCTCGGTACTCTTCACAGCTGAGTACTATTCCATCCGGTGGTGGGTATTTAGCTGTTACCAATAAGGCTTCCGTGTGCACGTCTTTGTGTGGACATGTTTCCTTCTTTGGTAGATTCCTCAGTGTGGACTTGCTGGGTCATGGGGTTAAGTCTCTCTTCTTAACAAACTCGCAAACTTTTCCAAAGTAGTTGTCCCATTTTACGTTACCACCAGCAATGTGTGAGGGTTCTACTTTCTCTGCATTCTTGGTGACACTTGGTTTTGTCTTTTATTTTTTACTTTTTTTTTTATAGCCTTTCTG